ATAACCCTCACTGCCTTCTAAGAGAATGGATACTGTCACTTGCTGTGTTGAGGGACTGGGGTGAGGATGGAATCTTGGCAAAGCCAGGAGAGTACTCTGCTCTGAATTTTCTTAAGGGGGTGTTTTACATATAAGAGTTGGATGGAAAAAGAGGAGGGGGAAGGTGACATATATCCCTCCCTTTTTAAGAAGATTTCCTAGAAATCCCACATTTCTTACAAATCTCACTGGCCAGAATCTGGTCACCCGGCCACACATAGCTGCAAAGGAGGCTGGGAAATGTAGTTGTTTTTTTTTTAGCTTTTGTAACTTACTTAGCTAAATGTTATGGTTCTGTTTTTAAGGAGAGATGGGAAAATAGTTGTCTCTGCCTCGGGAGCAACTAGCTATGCCGTGGAAGGGGATGGGGATGCACTAGGGAGACGTCCTAAAGGACGTGACATCTAAATTGGGTGCCGAAGGAGACAGGCCCAGGTCAATTGGGCTTAGTTTGGGTAAGTTGGAGGGGCAAGGAAAGAGGGGGTGGTGGTGAAGCAATGGAGAGGGTGGTAGAAGATAGCACATTGAGACGTGTAAAGTTCTAGGGGGGACAGCAGTCCAGGGAAAGAAGACAGCTGAAGCAAAGGGCCTGAGGCCAGAAAGAACTTGGTGAATTGGAGTAACAGAAAGAAGGGCAGAGTGGCCTGAGTGTAGTGAACCAGGGACAAGACCACACAGGGATTAGATCACACAGGAATAGAGTTTGGATTTCATTCCAAGAGTGATGAGAAGCCACTTACAGGTTTAAGCCAGGGGAGGACGTGACAAATTTGCCTGTAAAGAATTGTTGTGGCTGGTGCACAGAGAAGGTAAAGGAAGGGAGGAGGAGGCAAATTCATTCGCACAGCTTCCTGGGTGAGGTCAGGCCACTGGAAATGGAAAAGCACGTTGGAAAGGTAAGCACTGAGTCCAAACATAAGGTGTAGTAAAGTGTGACTTGTGGTTGTCTCCAGCATCCCTAAGAGACCAACGTCATCCATCCCTCTCACCGGGGACAGCCAGACAGACTCTGACATCCTGGCATTCATCAAGGCCAGACAGAACATTCTTCAGAAGAAATGTAAGTGCACCTTCCCCCAGGTCACCCCACTCTGCTCACCAACACTTGGGGGAGGTAGGGGGGAAGGCTTGCAGTGAAGCAAGAAGGAAGTAGGAAGCTTACTGCATGTTCCCGAAGCCACAGGACTGGCCTTTCAGTCACCGCACATGTGCCTGACCTCTGCTCCTGCCTGGAGAAAGCCTCAAGAGGCAACGTCAGAAACCCAGGCCCAATAGAGTGGCCAGCCCAGATGCTCCTATCCTGCTTGGCAAAGCTTCTCTTCCTCTTCCGGATCTTCAGCCCCCTTTGTTCTCTGTCCCCAAAGCCAGCTCTCCTTTGTTCAGCCCTCTCTAAACAGGAGGTGGCTGAGTGATGGTTTGTTAACTTACTGACTACCTGGCTAGAAATATCACTCTGCTGTTGGAGTGTAGTTTTTAATACTGAGTTGTAGATATAAACACCACTTGAAGACTCAGGCTTAAGGGCAACGTAAGTTACGAAAGCAATATATGTGGCGTGTCAGATAACAGGAAGAGAAAGAGAAGGCCCTTCTGGGCCTTCATTGCTGACCTCGCTCGCTATAGACAGGCCTCTTCTGCCCACAGGGACGAGCCCCAGGGCCCCTCATCCAAGCCTGCTTTTTAGTCTTAGCCTCATCCCAGTGATTCAAAGGCTGCTAGGCAGCTTAGCATTGCTTTCCCATGTCAGTGGGGCACCTCAATCAATATAAAGGCCAATTAAACCCTATAACGACTGACACCTGCCCTGAGAGACCTACCTACACCCAGCTTCACTACCAACTCTGCAGTTTATACAGTAGGAGGTTTGCCCATGGATGGAGCTCCACAAGTAAAGGAGGCCTTCACCATATCATAGTAAGCAGAAGAAAACAGGCTCCCTCACTGGGAAGGCACCCTAATTATAGTCCTCTCTTCACCACTAGGATCAGCAACATTAGCACAACTGTCAAGTCTTTTCTGAGACCGGAGTTAGGCTGGCTCTGCCTGCAGCCTACTGTGACACCTTGACCACATAATTTGCCTTCTCTTATCCTCAGTTTCTTTGTCTAAAAAAGGAAAAGAAAAAAGAAACATTAAATTCAGATTCGGAGACCTCCAAGACCCCATCCATGCCCAAAATACTCTAATGATGCGTGTTGGACACTGAACAATTCTATACAGTTAATGGACTCTGTATTTACTGGGCTCCTTCCATATGCCAGGCACTGTACCAGTGCTAAGGCTGTAAGAGTGAACAAGACAGAGCCTAGCCACTGACATCCCGGGAGGAGAAAGGAGATAGACAATGAAAACAAACCAACAAATATGTGAGATCATTTGAAATGCGGATGAGTGCTATGAAATAACAAAATATGTAATGTTGTAGAGAGCAACAAGGAAGACTGTGTTTAACTAGGAAAGGGGAGGGAGGACCTTCCTGAAGAGGGGAACTTTAAACTGATAGCTGAACAATGAGAATGGCAGCCCTGCGGTATTCTGTGAGTGAGTGTTCTAAGCACAAAAAGCAGAAAGTGAACAGCCCTGAAGGGAAGGAGCTTTGCTTGGTCACAGGGTAGGGAGGAGGCCAGAGTGGCTGGAAGGCTGAATAAAGGAGCAGGGGCCGGATCACACGGGTCTTGTGTAAGGGGCTTGGCTTCTATTCCAGGTATAGTGGGAACTCCGTGAAGAATCTAAACCATGGCAGGTTGTGATCTGATTGGTGCTTTGGAAAGCTCACTCTGGCTGTTGTATGTAGTGTAGGTTATAGAACAGGGGTCCCCAAACCCCAGGCTGTGGACCAGTACGCATCCATAGCCTGTTAGGAACTGGGCCACACAGCAGGAGTTGAGCAGCTGGCGAGTGAGCAAGCGAAGCTTCATCTGTGTTTACAACTGCTCCCCAGCGCTAGCGTCACCACCTCAGTTCCACCTCAGATCATCAGGCATTAGATTGTCATAGAAGCACAGGTCCCTGTTGCCAAAAAGGTTGGGAACCACTGTTGTAGAGGACCAGGAGGAGCACAGTTATCAGGCTCCTGGGTGGGTCCAGGCAAGGAGTGAGGGCAGCCTGGACTAACCAGCTGATTGGACATGAGCTGTGAAGGAGAGAGGAGAGCCAAGAGGGCTCCTGGGCTTCTGATCGGAGCAGTTAACAGGACGGTGGTGCCATTTCCAGAAATGAGAAAGGCAAGGGGAAGTGAACATGAAAGGGAAGGAGCTGGAGGACATACGAGTTCTGGTTGGCCCATTCAGAGTTTCAGGTGCCGTGTGAGATCCTAGGGGAGATGGTGAGTAGGCTCAGGATGAGGTCTGAATGGTGTATAAACGCGTGGCCCTGATAAAATCTCCTTTGAAGAGAGAAAATAGAATTATTCCAGTTGCTGATAACAGATCCCTGGGGTACTGTGACATTTAGAGCAGGCTGGATGATCCATCCAAAGATGCTGAGAAGACTCAGCCAGGGCCAGAGCAGGGCCAGCGAGTGAGTGAGTGTGGCCTCAGGCAGGTCTGCAGGAGAATGTGTTCCGAGGGGAGATGGACCAGTAGAGTCCAGTGCTGCTGAGAGGTTGAGCCATGGAGGCCCTGGACAAGTGCCCTTTTAGGCAGGGGACTGAGAGGATGAAAGCCCCGTTGGTTGCAGGTGTTGAGGGAAGCAGAGAGAGTGTGTAGAGACAACTCTTCTGGGGAGTTCAGCTGTGAAGAGCAGCAGAGAAATGAGGGTAGAACTAAAGGGAAGCAGGATACGAGGGCAGGGGAGGGGATTTGCTTTTGTTTTAAATAGTTATGAAGACATATTTATGTACCGAAAGGAATCGTCCAATAGAACACAGGCAATTGATGATGTGGAAAAGAGGACCAAAACTGCAGGAGAAAATTCTCTTAGGAAGTACAGGGGATGGTGCCTTGGATGTAAGTGAAGAGCTAAGCTGGCTTTTGGAGCAGGAAGGCCCCCTCTCCTGGGACAAAGTCATAAAAATCAACTGTCATTTTCCCGTCAAGAAGTCTACAAGTGAGCAATATTTTAAAGTTATTGTTTACTCAGCTTTTATGCACATAATAGAGACTTTTTCATCCAACCCTCTCAAAAGAGACAAGGCATTATTAACCCAAGGTCTGTGTCAAAATGGCATCTTCCTGCTAACACCATGCCCAAATGGTACAGAAAGCTAGGCTGAAGGGTGGGGCACTTTTATTAAAATGTGTATGGCATATTACCATTTATATTTTTTTTTCATTGATATTATTCCATCTGATGCTCTCAACACTCCTGTAAGGTATACAGAGCCAAGAGTATGATCCCCCTTTTGACAGGTAAGGAAACATGCACATAGAGGTTGAATAACTTGCCCAGAGAACAAATGGCAGAGCCAAGATAACCCTGGTTTTCTGCACTCTCTCCACTGGGCCACAGTCTTGAAAAGCCACTCCACTGTCTTGTGTTGGTCTCTTGGGTTCCACCCTCCCTGTAGCTGGGGAGTTTTGTTCTCCAAACAAACAGCAGCCTGGAAGTAATTCATCAAAACAAACAAAAGTTCAAGGGTTCAATTTTTATTCTTATGAGAATAAAAATAATCATGGGTTCATAGTGACTGCAAAGGAAGCTGAAGACGGGATGACAAAGGGTCCCTCTCCTGCCAGGTCGGGGCTGAAAGGCCAGCAGGTACAGCCTCTCTGGACATGTGGCAGATGGCCCAGGTCCCGCCACGCAGCGCTTTCTGCGCAGTCCACTTATCGGGCCTCCTTGTCAGGCAAACACACAGGCCAGGGCCCAGGCACCTTCCCCCGCCAAAGCAAACACTTCCCTCTCCCCTGGGCTCCCTCTGCTCTTAATTTAGCTGGCTGACTGGGCTTCTTCATGAGCGCTCATTATGGGGAATGTGTGACTGTCAGCCTGGGAGCAAGAGCCCAGAGAGGGCCATTTAACATAAGCCTCCCATTGGCTCTCAGACCTCGCCAAGGACCCAGGTGAATCTACTTGATTTAGACCTCCTGGGAAAGCTGTGGAACATTTAAATCCCTACCAAGGGCACCTATGGGCAGGTATATATCCCTAAAAGGAACATTAGTCATTCATGGTGTCAAATCCTGTTTCTAACTGCCAAGGATGGCTTTAAAATCTGAGAAAATTAGGTTAACTCCTTTTTAGGGTGTTTTCTTTTCCTTAATCTTCCATAATCTCTGAGTTTGGAAATATTTCCATTTGGACAGGAGCCTTGATGTGACGCCCATGACCACAGCTACCCCTTCTCCAGCTGGTACCAGGAAGAGGCTCTGCCTGAGTGCCTCAAAGCCCCGCCACCCCCCACTCCCACCATCTCCACTCTGAGAGACCCTCCAGCTCTCTCCTTTGTTCAGGAATCTTCCCAGTGAAATGGATGGAATATGGAACTAGAAGGGAAGAGAACGAAATATAAGGGCTGTCTCTGCCCTGTGTAAACTTGGGCAGCCCGCCTCCTCCAGCCTCCCAGATGCCATCTTTGCCCAGGGCTCAGACTCTCCTGAGATAATGTCCATAAAAGTCCCTCATGAACTGCCAAGCACCAGGGAGCTGTTAGTGGGGTAGCTGGCCTCTGGTGAGAACTGCCCCAACACGGTACAGTGTGACTATTGTTTTATTTTCTATTTTTTTAGTTTTCAATTACAATCAGCATTCAATATTATTTTATATTAGTTTCAGGTGTACAACATAGTGATTAGACATTTATATAATTTACAAAGCAATTCCCCCAATTAGTCTAGTATCCATCTAGCACTATACACAGTTATTGCAATATTATTGACTATATTTCCTATGCTATACTTCACATTCCCATGACTATTTTGTAACTACCAATTTATACTTCTTAATTCCTTTACCTTTTTCACCCAACTTCCAACCCCTCTCCCATCTGGCAATCACCATTTGTTCTCTGTATCTACGAGTCTGTGTTCGTTTTGTTTATTCATTTTGTTCTTCAGGTTTCACATATAAGTGAGATCAAATGGTGTTTGTCTTTGTCTTATTTCACTTAGCATAATACCC